TTTCTGTTTCTAATTTTATAGAAATATAAACGATTAGTAATTGTTACTATTTTTCGTCTCTCATTTTTAGAAAATATTTTTAAAATTGTGTGGACATTTTAGAAATAGTCAAATTAAGGCTCTTTCTCTGTCTTGTTTCCAATTTTCTTAAGAAATCTATAATATTTTACAACTAACTATGTTTATTGTTTCATCTTTTTTTGGGAACATTCTCAAAATTGTATAAATTTTTTTCAGAAACAGATGAACTTTACCAAACGGTTTCTTGTTTATGGTTTCTGTTTTCATTTTTTTTCCAAAACATAAATAAAAGCATTATTTTATTATTATTGACTTATAAAAAACTAATTTCTTTTATTTAAAATTTTAGATAACAAGAAAAAAAAATGATTATCAAATATGTTTATGTTTCTTTTTTTCAATCAAAAAAGGAAAGAACAAAAACCAGAAGAACAAAAAATAACTGAGAAAGGCAGTTTTGTTTTCATTTATTAAAAAAGAGCAAACAAGAAACAAGAAATAAAATCGTCAAATGGGCGCAAATATATGACATACTAATGAAAAATGACCATAAATTTTATAATTTTAAAAATGACCCACATATCTTTTGCGAAATTATGCAAGAGGTAATTTTCCATTTTTACCCCACCCACATCTGTTGTCCGTAGGTTCACAGAGACTGTCAATGCATCATTTGACAATTTTACCCTACCCACATTTTAGGAGCCACAAATTATGTTTCATACTCAACTAAATCCCTAAAATCTCTATCCTACATAAATGGGAAATAAAATTCAAACTAATTTAGATTATGTTTCAAAATTAAATCAATCTCTCCTTATTACAAAAACCTTATTTGTGCATCCTCATTGATGCAAGAACTCATTATCGAAATAACAATATCGGTCACCATGTAGAAGACAATGAGTGTACTAATAATATCCAATTTCTAGGCTATGCTAGGATGAAAAGGTAGTTTACAAGCAAGAGATCCTTTGAAAAGGCATCATAACAGCAAACATTCGTGGGAAGTATTGCAAAAGCAAATCTACTTCTAATCTTCTTCCTACTACTATGGTTGTTTTTTGTCATGGAAATACAAATTTCAGAAGACATTTTAGCAATCGGAGTGGTGTGGGTCCTATCACTTTTGTCAAATTACACGGTCAATGATTTTATGCATACATACCCCGTAGATAGTTCCACATACAGAAAAAATGAAAGTGTAAATGTCACTCAAGTCATATAGATGCACAATCGCAAACTTGACAGTGACTCTATAATGGGAGCACATATCTATTCTAGATGCACCAGCAGACGCATTATTAAGAGAATAAAAGAAAGAGAAGATTTGTGGAGATAGTTTCATATACAAAGTCTGGATGACATATGTTGTATATGCCTAGAACCTGCTGTATAGTTGTGGATACAAACCTGGTAGATACTTCTGTATACAGAGGAAGTGTGACTGTCACTTAAGACATGTAGACGTACGATTCAAACTCGACAAAAATTTTGTAATTGGGAGCATATGCCTGTGCTAGACGCATGACATAATAGTATGGTTATTTAGTCTTTCAATATACTTAATCTCTCTGTATTTCAAAAACCTTCAAAAGTCATTTGAATTAAATCTTCTTTAAGTTTATAGTTCATCTTTTTAGCTTTTGGATTTTTTTTCTTATAAATTTAGGATTTTAAAGAATAAAGTAAAAATGATCTTCAAGTTTTTTTATTAGGTATAGATCATTGATTCCTAAAACTATTATCCGCCTTTTTAGGTAGTATAAGTTGGTTAGAGATTTCCTCAAATCAATATTTTATTTTATTTTTTTTGTTTAAGGGTGTTTATGCAAGGATATGCACAACAGTATATTTTAGATTGCAGCTCGAACTCGGCCTCCGGACTGATCTGAATACTTGGGCGGGCCTGCACAAAAAGGTGAGCACTCYGACGATCAAGTCAGTATAGGTCGGATTCCCAGTTTAGTTCGAGGTCAGAAATCATCGTACCTGATCGCGGAGTGAGGTCCTCTACTTATGGGTGGTAGTCCCGCTAATCTCGCGACGGTTACACCCGGTAATCTCGGGACCGTCGGTTACACCCGGTAATCTCGGGATCGACGGTTACACCCGATAATCACGCCGCTGACAGTAGTTCACATCGGCCCCCACCGAGCTTCCCGGTAGGTCGGACCTCGGCCAGGTTCACCTCGGCCCTCATACTTAGCATCTGTCAATGCTAGCGGTGGTGATCTCGAGCGTCCGAGCTGGGCATGACTCATGAGTCATCTTGGAGCACCAATAGGGGTCATCCACGTGTCCAGGGTATTCTCTCCCCAAACAAAGGGTATATCTGTCATAAACAAAATGAATATTTGTACGATACATTTGGCCATTTGATTTCAGAGGGCATATTTGTCTTAAATAAAATTTATAATTAAATCATAATTGGCAGTTATCCATCATCACCATATTAGATACTTTTAGTCATTTTACAAAACACATTATTTTTTATGGCCATGCCTCTTGTTGCCCCTAAGAAATAACCATTTTGTTGCTCTCACTCAATACCACGTAACACCAACTTATATCCATGTAAGCATGGTATAGATATATTTTAAGCTACATCATCTAAAATAACAATGAGAACCAACATGATTATTTTTAAGTTTAGGGACTAAAATAGACATTCGAAAGTTTAGGGAGTGCATGAAATAATCATTAAAATTCAAGATCAAAATAGGATTTGAACTTTAAGAAATTTTTAAAATTATGTGAATTAATAAATAAACATATCACAACTTTTTTAATATGCCAAAAAAAATCGTATTCTTTGTTTTATGAATAAGAAAATCTCTATTTTCTATAATTTGAATTTTATTTATCTAAAAGTTTTAAATTGAGAAGATATCCTTATGTTCTTAGGATTTTCTCTATATTTAACAAAAGATATACTATTTACTCGAGATTTTTCTCTCAATAAATAGAAGAAAAATACTCATAATTAAACTACATTGTAGAATCCTACTTTTTGTTATGCTTCACATAGAATCTTGATTATGAGTACAAAAGTGAGCGAGATACATACTTACACAATTTGATATGAATAAGAGTATGGGAGCAAGCTACATGCATGCTTACACAATTAGACACGAATAAGTTTGAGAAAATTGGCCATGAAATAAGGATTGAAATTTTGGTGAATAATTTTTACTAAATAAAATATTTTGCAAACTCACTCACTCTCTTCTTAGGATATATAAACCTAAGTTCTCTCTTTCTCTCATCTTCCCCTTCGTGTGAGACCAGCTGTCCAGACTGGCACAAACCTTCTTCTCTGGTGGCCCATGCATAGCAATCGTAGTCACACGAACAAAGAGGGTTAAGCTTTTACACAAATGATGCAAGCTAGATTCGGCGAAGACCCACAAACCCAAATTCCAATTAGCCCATCACAACAGCAAAGCTCCTCCCCTGTAATACCTGATGGCGTACACCATTCTTGCGACCCACAACGTCAGAGACTACCCATAGACGTGTGACAGTGAAGCAGCAGCAGCAACACTCCTCCACAGACGATAGCAAGGCCACGAGATTTTAGCTCTACACCAGAGGTGCACCTATAAGACCACGGGATTTCAAATCCACTTGCCAGACCTCTGACGACTTGTGACGGTGCAGCACGGATCGATGACGAGCGCTCGAACTCACAGATCTGGTAGCGTTCCATGACACATGTAAATGAACTAGCCAGTTAAGCCTAAGAGATTTGATTAAAAACCTAAGATATCCGTGAGCAAACACAACTTTTAAAGTAAACCGAGCAACAAATATTCTCAATATAGAAGCCTTACATTTCATCTAACTTATTATTCTCTACTTTGAGAGTGGGGGCTAATGTTACGGGTAAAATAAAGCCAGATGAAAATCCGACAAATCAAACCTGGATTGCTAAATTTGGGAGGCTTTCAGGGAGAAGTGAAGATAGAAAGAATTACAAAATATAATTTCATATTGAATTTCTTACTCCATCTCGATACAAACATATCATCCTGTTTATAATAGGATTCCTAATCATAATAGGAATAAAACATCTAAATCGAAATAATATCTAAAATTAAATGCTAAATCTCAAATCATATCAAATTAATTCATAAATCATATCAATCTCATAACACCTTCCCTCGAGTGGGAGCATGCAAGTCATAAATGCTCCACTTGCAAAGGAGATGAAACCCGATTTTTTGGCACGGCAAACACTCGATTTGTTGGCACGAGAGACCACGAACTCCAACAGTGAACTTGTATTAATTGTCAAAGCTATTGTCATTGTGAACTCGTATAAGTATAACTAGCAAGGAAGTTTGAACCGAACCAAACTTAAATATGAGCTGAACCGAACTGACAAGGAAGTTTGAATCGGACCATAAATTTGAAATGGACCGGACCTAAAAAAAGAGATTAGTAGATAGATGGTCTATTTAGAAATCATAATTACGTAAAAGGATGGAAAAGTATAGAATTTACACTTTTGTTATGAAACAATCCCTAATTAGATGGTACTCATAACACAATTACTAATATATCCTTATGATTCATCTCAATATTAAATAATTATTAAAATTTAGATTGGTAATTGGGAGGTCCGATTCCTTGAAATGTGCTAATGATACTTTCCAAAATTAAAAAATCCCAAAACCCAAAAAACTCATCCATTTTCGAAACCCACCCCTTTCTTCTTCCTCGTTTTTCTCTTCTTCCTCCAATCGTCTGTTTTCCTTCCTTCGACCCTCTTTTCCTCTTCTCCAACCGTCTGCCTTCCTCTCCGATCGGCTCCGCTTTTCTTCGTCGCAAGAGCATTTCATCTCCGGCCACCTTCGAAAAGAGATTTCCGTCAGTTCTTATTCTCCGGGCTTTCTACCTGTCTTCGTCTTTGGCCGACGTTTCCCCGTCTTCATCTCAGACCGCCTCCGTTTTTACTAGTCGCCAGAGCAGTTCATCTCCAGATTGAAAGGTTTGCATTTCAATGGATGTTTTCACTTTCTGATTTGGTGTGAAATATTGTATATGTGAGGATATATTGTATAGTGATTTGATTAAGATATATCTTATAACTCAACTTATATATAATGCGGATATACAGATATATACTATAGCGATTTTGAATGTATATATGCGGATATATAAGTGGATATATCTTATAACTCAACTTGTATATATGCAGATATGCAGATATATACTATAGTGATTTTGAATGTATATACGCGGATATATAAGTGGATATAAACTGTGATTTTGAATATATTTTTTGAATATTCGGATATATGTTTATTGAGATTTCAAAAGATGTTTATGTGATTTTGAATTGTCTTTGAAGATTGACCACCAATGTGGGAGTGAATTAAGGGAAAATCAATCTTTTTGAAGGAGTAAATTAAGGTTTTGAAGGAGTGAATTAAGAGATTTGTATTGAAAATTAGTATGGGGCCCACAATAATTAAAGGACTATGATAATAATTTATGGAATTAAATCTTTTATACTTAAAAAAAACAAATAGCTATAATAAATGTAAATGAAATAAATAAGGGTAAAATCGAAATTAAAATAAAATCCTACAGGCAGAAATCTAAAAGTGTAAAATTAGAAAAATTTAAACATTTGTGTAAATAAGTTTCTAAAACAGCCTTCATATTATCTCTAAAATAACAAACTTCAATCTTCAACAAATAAAACCCTAGCATTAGCAGTCGTCAATCTTTGAATGATTGGTCTTCGGTACACCGCGGCGACGGTGAAACGAAATAGACGCCGACCAGTGGAGGACGGCTACAATAGCAACTATGCAACCTTTTCTCCGGTGTCATCTGCAACAAATCCAACGAACAAACGGCGCTGGCTTCTTCTCCAACGGTGTATCGAGACAGCTACAGCATTTTCGGCCAATGGGCAGCAACTATAAGTACAGTTTGGCGGCACGATTAGGCGACGACGAATCTGGCATGACACCCACAACGAACAATTCCCAGTGTGTGCCTGCAGCAACAACGAGACCGAAGCGATGATATCCTTCTTTTTTGTTGGTGACAAATACCAAGAAGAGACCAAATTTTGCCTAATACAGATCTGCAGCAAGCAGATACCAGGTGGGTACAAAGAACAACCACAAATGGAGAACCACCACACGCGGGTACAAAGATCAAAATCAAGTTTACAAAATTTACTTGATTGATTGAATTGCCAATCAGAAAATTCTAAATAGCCCAATAAAATAATCTAGGTTCTTATACCATGCTAAATTTGGGAGGCTTTTAGGAAGGAGTGAAGATAGAAAAAATTACAAAATATAATTTCATATGGAATTTCTTACTCCATCTCGATACAAACGTATCATCCTATTTATAATAGGATAATTCCTAATCATAATAGGAATAATACATCTAAATCGAAATAATATTTAAAATTAAATGCTAAATCGCAAATCATATCAAATTGATTCCTAAATCATATCAATCTCATAACATGGATATCAAGCGGGCGTCGAGAACTCAAAAAGTCGAGACAATGAAGAAGAACCGACCCAAGAACCAAGGACCGAGGCCAACCGGTGGATCAATTGGTCAACTTGGCTAAGCCTTATAGTTGACCTGGTGAGCTAGGCCTTGCCTCTCGGTCAAACACTTGCTAGTTGACCCGCTCGTTCGGTTAGGGTACAAAACCGTCTTCGGTTGGTGGTTGACTCGACCAGCATAGGTCACTCGATTGGTCGCCCTCTAGTTAGTCACGAGCCAATTAGTCCAGAATCTGTACAGAAGCCGATCAGGACAGGGGCGGATTTATTAAGGGCCCAGGGGGGATCGAGCCCCCCCGAACTTCGTATAATATATGATAAAAACATAAAGACCTTTAATAATAAAATTGGAAGTGGCAGAGTGGTTTGTGCGTGTCTAAGCCACCCTGGTGGCACCAATGTCAATCATGTATTTATTAATCTGCAAATCAAGTTAAAAAAGCGGAAAAAATATTTTCTAAAGTATATAGTTAAGTTAATTTTTGAAATTCCAAAAGAATTGAAAAACACATCATTTTCAAACAAATGCGATAATTTTTAAAAAATGAAAAAATATCTATAAATTAATGGAATATTTAAACCAAAAAAAATATATATATATTACTAAGATAGGTAAACCCTAATTTTAAATGGTGTAGCCACCATCTATTCTTTTAACCTACAAGACATAGACATTCTTTTAAATTGATATGCCATTGCCGTCTCTTTAAACCAATTGTTGCTTGCAATTTCAAGGCCAATCTTTTTTTCTTTCAATTTTATACGTTGTCGTTACACATAAATAATATGTTTTCTATTAATTATTGTATCAATCTATCTTTTTTCCTCTTTAAATCATCAGTTTTGAGATTCCATTGTTTTTATTTATATTACTTTTTAATTTTCATTTTGCAGTCTGCAAAGTTAAAGGAAACCGACTATTTAGAGATTAATTGTCTAAGATACATTTTCTTAACTTTACATCATATATGATATGGATTTGAGGTAATTTTAAATTTAATAGTTGGTAAAATTGGGGTTAGAATATAAGCCTGCATGTTTCAACTTTTAACTGTTTTTAAACATATAACTATTATCATTATTATTTTATGTTTTTGCTTTTTATTTTATTTTTTATTAATGTTCTTGTAGATTTAATTTGAAATCTAAATGGGGAGGTACTATAAAAGAAAATCTATTGGGTCATCGTCTCCATTGAAGAAAAGTCCATCGAAGAAAAGTAATAGTAGTTACGATAGAAGTTTTACAGAAGTAAATTTAGAAGTATTATCGACAGATCTTGGTCTAAGAACTAGAATTCTTGATTACAATTGTAATATTCGGGACCAAGTTCGTAGAGCGTATTTACAAAAAGGACCTTGCCAACCTCAAAATCATACTTTTCCATTGAAGAAATTGAGGTCACAGTCAACACGGTTTAATCCAGCCTGGTTTACTAAATATTCTAATTGGTTGGAATATAGTATTTCGAAATATGCTGCCTTTTGTTTATGTTGCTATTTATTCAAGCCAGAAGTTGGAGAACAATCAGGAAGTGACCATTTTGTTGGGGAAGGATTTTTTCAAATTGGAACAAAAAAGAGAAATTACAAACTCATGTTGGAGGACCAAATAGTGCGCATAACCAAGCTTGGAGTAAATGTGAAGCCTTTTTGAAGCAAAAACAACACATCGAAACATTTATTAGTAAGATGTCTGACCAAGTAAGAATTGATTATCAAACTCGATTAGGTGCAACAATTGATTGTGCTCGATATTTATTAGGCTTCCATTTCGTGGGCATGATGAAAATGAAGATTCAAAAAATCAAGAGAATTTTCTTGAACACCTACAGTGGCTATGCAACCACAATAAGGATATTGATGATGTTGCTTTGAGAAATGCTCCTGAAAATTTGAAACTAATTGCTCCAGATATACAAAAAGATGTTGTGAATTGTATTGCAGTAGAAGTTGTTGATGCAATTATAAGAGATATTAGTGATAAGTTCTTTTCAATTTTGATTGATGAGTCAAAGGATATATCTCCGAAAGAGCAGATGTCAATTGTGTAGAGATACGTGGACAAAGGACATGTGATTGAACGGTTTGCTAGTATTTTACATGTTACTACTACAAATTTTTGTCGCTTAAGGAAGCTATTGATGAATTTTTTTTTTTCCAAACATGGGTTAAGCATTGCTAGTTTGTGAGGACAAGGATATGATGGAGCAAGCAATATGCGGGGTGAATTCAATGGATTGAAAGCATTAATTTTGAGAGAAAATGAATGTACATTTTACATTCATTGTTTTTCTCATCAACTTCAATTAGCTTTGGTAGCTATTGCAAAAAATCATGTAGAGATCAGTGGTATTTTTTTGTTAGTTGCAAATGTGGTAAATGTTATTGGGGCATAGCAAAACGTCGAGATATTTTAAGAGAAAAACATAGTGCTATAACTCTTGAAACTTTGGATAATGGTGAGATATCAAGTGGGCGAGGACTAAATCAAGAAAGAATGATTAAACGATCAGGAGATGCACGATGGGCTCACATTACAATACTCTAGTCAGCTTTATTGCAATGTTTTCATCAATTGGTGATGTACTCGAGACAACTGTAGAGGATAGGTCAACTTCTGAACAAAAATATGAAGCAAAGGTTCTAATAAATTCGATTCAGACATTTGATTTCATCTTTCATATGCATCTTATGAAAGTTATATTAAGAATCACAGATGAATTGTCTCAAGCACTGCAGAGAAAAGATCAAAATATTGTGAATGCAATGAATTTGGTCAGGATTTGTAAAGAAAGACTACAAACGATGAGAGAATCAGGTTGGGATTCAATGTTAAATCAAGTTTCTAACTTTTGTGATAAACATGATATTGAAATGTTTGAGATAGATGCTATGTTTTCGGTTCGAGGGAAGAAAAGACGAAAATCTCAGCCAATCACAAATATGCACCATTATCGTGTTGAGGTTTTTTACACGGTCATTGATATGCAACTTTGAGAGCTGAACAATCGTTTTACCGAAACAAGTACAAATATACTTCTTTGTGTAGCATGCCTGGATCCGAGCAACTTGTTTGCTACTTTTGAAAGTCAAAAACTTATTCGTCTAGCCCAGTTTTATCGTAGAGATTTTTCAACTACTGATCTTGTTGTTCTTGAGGATCAGCTTCAAATTACATCATTGATATGCGTTYAGATAATATGTTTCTTGAACTAACAAATATTAGTGATCTTGCACTAAACATAATGATAACAGCTAAAGATAAAGTCTACCAATTAGTTTATCGGTTGCTCACATTGGCATTAGTCTTACAAGTTGCAACAGCTACCATGGAGAGAACGTTTTCTTCTATGAGTATTGTAAAGATTCGGTTGCGTAATCGGATGGAAGACCAGTGGATGAATGATAGTCTTATCACATACATTGAGTAAGATTTATTTGATAAGATAGATAATGAAATTATTATGCAACGATTTCATAATATGAAATCTCGTAAAGGACAATTGTGATGTATTAAATTATAGTTCATTTCATTTATGATTTTTTAGAATTACTTACTTGTTTTTTACTTCAAAGAATTACTTGTTAAATTAGTATAAAGCCCCCCTGAACAAAATTTATGGATCCGCCACTACGTCAGGGAGGAAGATTTAAAGATCTATAGAATTAAAATTGCCTTATTATCTAAGGAATTTGAATGGAGAAGAACGATCAAAGATCAACGACTCATAAGACCGATCAAGATCAATGACTCATAAGGCCGATCAAGATCAATGACTCATAAGGCCAATCAAGATCAACGACTCATAAGGCCAATCAAGATCAACAAACCATAAGGCTGACTACGAATAACCGACAAGGGATAATGGACCAAAAATAGCGAACCAATGATGGCAGACCAATGATGGATGACCAAGAATGCTCGAATAAAAAGAGCAAACAATAAATAACCGACTATGAATTTACATCAAATACTTTTAAAGCATTTAATCTAACTCATTATCTTAAACTTTGAGAGTGAGAGCTAATGTTATGGATAGGAAAAATCTCTAGTTTCTATAATTTAAATTTTCTTTAAGTAATTCAAAAGGAGAAGATATCTTAATGGTTTTAGGATTTCTCTATATTTAGGAGAATATATCATAAATACTCGAGGTTTTTACCTCTATATGTAGAAGGAAAATACTCATAATTGACGTATACTACATAAAATCTTGATTCTGACTCAAGCAAAGTATGTGTGACTAGTGTGACGGTCATACATTTTTCAACCGTGCGGCGCCATGATCTAAGCTCGACCATGGCCAGCCATACGAGGAACTCTAGCTCCAATCCACTTTTCGCGCCCCTTTGTGGCTTCGTCGGACCTTAGGCGAGGTTCTTTCTTCCTCGACCGAGCTTCACTTGCAGCGGAATTCTCACTTGACTCGGCAATGCACGTCGCCCGTACGTGCATTTAAACTCTAACTCGACTCTAGCCGGCTTGCCTCTACGCTAGGCCAAGCCCCACGGCTCTACCTTGCCTCTACTCTAGGCCAAGGTCTTCTGAACGCGACGTCGCAACTTGTTTTCAACCATCTTGGTTCTCAGCCACTCGGCCGTCCCGCTCCTACGATGAGTCGGGACCTTATCGGGATGAGTTCTGACCCATAACGGGGCCAGAACGAGCTTAAAACGCCAACCGGGTACAA